ATGTAAAAAAATTATCACGTGTGGCATAACGTGATTAGTTGGGGATAGCAAAATAGTGTTATTCCTGTTACATGTAAATGTTTCTCGTTGTGGAGGTGCTTGATAGATGAGAGTGCAGACTAGCTGCCTACCTGCTTGCCTACTTTATCTTTTGGATCTCATGATTTAGTCACTTCTCTGCAATATGTTTTGTTTTGAGTAATGATGGTTGTAGGGCATTTCTAGCTACGTTTGTTCTTGACTCGGGACACTTTCAGTCCTTTTTGTAACTAGACTATCCAACTAGGTTTTTATATTTGTTTGATCTGAAATTAACTCATTTGATGTCTAAACTCTTTTCAGATTGTTACTGCGTGTAGTGGTTTCGAACTATTTCTAATTGTTGAGCTTTGTTACTGTGAATAGACCTCAAAATTTTAAGTAATTCATATGCAGAGTCCGATTTGGCATCCACACAACTTTGTACTTTGTGAATTAATGCTCCATGTAACTAAGCCTTCAGTTCGGCATCCGATTTAGCTCTATGAGATTGTCTATCTTCCTCATTAGTTGTGGAAACATCAACAGGGTCCCCTGATGGATTTCTAGAAATTATGGTATTGGGGATGCATGGGTTATTCCGGCTTTTGTCTATGTGTATTGTTTGTGCCCAATTCCATCATTTTTAAATAATACTAATTATATAACCATGAACTTGGTTAATTGATTAAAGGGTTAATCGTTTTATTAGTCTCTAAACTTAGACTCAATTTGCATTTGAGTATCATAATTGATTAAAATATGAATAAAAAATTAAAAAACTAAAAAAATTAAAATTAAACTCTCTCTCTCCCTTTCTATCCCGATTTCTACTCCCCCAAACTTGATTTTTCTTTTTTTTTTGGTTGGTTTTTTTTATTTATTTTCTTTTATTTTTATTTTAAAGATATGATTTTTTATTCATTTTTTTTGTTTTAATATAAAAATACCATTTTGCCCCTGCATTTAACAGAAAAAGTTAACAAAATTGACGGCAGGACCATTTGTCCTAACGAAAGTGAAGTTAAAGGACCACAGGAACCATTTTAGAAATTAAGGTACTCAAATGCAAATCGTTCAATTTTCTTCGTTTTTCTATTTTACTCTGGTTTTCGTTGTTCTGCTACGTTTTCGTTCGATTTGCATGTGGAATAAAGTTCAGCTTTGGGCGATTTTTGTTCTTCCTAGTTCGGGTATTTCGAGCTCAGTTTTGTGGCGCCATTTTTTGGTGCGATCTTGTGGAGTTTAATGCTAAACCCTATCTTCTTCGTTTTGTGATCAGATTTGATTTTGAGCTGTTGTTTGGTTGGGGAGATTTTTGGCAGTCCTAGGTGTTGAGGTATGAGTACTTTATAACCTTTTGTTTGTTTATATCAACTTATGTTTTTCGAATTTAGTTTTAGTACTTTGATCGTGGTTTCCTTTTGGTTTCTATTCGAATTTTTTTGATTTTCTGTCATAAACTGCATTGCCGTTTCTGTTTGTTGCAGCATTTGAGCAGAAACTACAGTGCAGTTTCTAGTTTCTTAAATTGCATTGCTAGTGTATGACAATGTTACAATTGCTTATGGACTTGAATTTGTTTTGAACTTAGTTTTAGCAGTCCTAGGTGTTGAGGTATGAGTACTTTAGAACCTTTTGTTTGTTTATATCAACTTATGTTTTTCGAATTTAGTTTTAGTACTTTGATCGTGGTTTCCTTTTGGTTTCTATTCAAATTTGAGCATATGTTTTCTCATAAACTGCACTGCAGTTTCCGTTTATTTCAGTTTTTTATCAGAAACTGCAGTGCAGTTTCTTGTTCCATATTTGGATTTCAGGATAATTTTTGCTATTCTATGGGAATGTTACAACTGCTTATGGACTTGAATGTGTTTTAAGCTTAGTTTTATTACTTTGAACATGACTTTTCCTTTTTTTTTCTATTCAAATTTGAACATATGTTTTGTCATAAACTGCATTGTAGTTTCCGTTTGTTGCAGTTTTTTTACTAGACTGTTCCATATTTGGATTTCAGGATAATTTTTGCTATTCTATGGGAATGTTACAACTGCTTATGAACTTGAATGTGTTTTAAACTTAGTTTTATTACTTTGAACATGACTTTTCCTTTTTGTTTCTATTCAAATTTGAACATATGTTTTGTCATAAACTGCATTGTAGTTTCCGTTTGTTGCAGTTTTTTTACTAGAAACTGCATTGCAGTTTCTTGTTTCATAATTCGATTTTAGACTAATATTTGCAAGTCTATGGGAATGTTACAACTGCTCATCTACATTATTTACTGATTTGAATTGTTTTCTGTTTTTGTTTGTAGTTTTGTTTGCATTTTCAAGGCTAATGGAGGTTTGTGTCATAGCCAAGTGCACATATAAGTCAAAAACCATTATGTTTTCAGTTTCAGCAAAGTCATCCATGGTTGATGTTTTGAAGACTTTGTGTCTCAGGTTTAGGGCTTTGCAGTTGGGTAGTTTCACGTTACAGTATTTGCTACCCGGTTTTTCGAGTTGTTTACTAGAAACGGTTAGTGATTTAGACATGATGATGGCATATTTGTTGATATCAAATGCGACGAGCGTGGTTATTTTAGTTAAGTATTTATGCATGAGCAGTGAGTATAGTGGTGATTTTTGTGGAAAGAATGAGTTGATAGCCTGTGAAAAGGGCGAGTCGTCATGTTCTAGTATTGTTGAAGACAAAAATGAATTTTTGGGCAGGTCGAAGAGAAAAAGTGCTAAGCCTTTGTTGTCGAATGAGTGGGAGACGTACATACATCATGTAGGGCAGAAGTTTGACAGTGGTATAAAGGAGTTCCGGTTGAAATTGTGCAAGTATGCTCTTGAAGTATGATTTAATTTTTTATATGCCGACAATGACAAGAGGCAGATGATTGCTGTTTGTTCGAATAAGTTGGAGGGTTGTAGTTGGCGTGTTTATGCGTCTCGTTGTGTGCTACTGGCTGTTTTGTAATTCAGACGTTAAATAATGTGCATACATGTGCGGGTCGGATACAAGAATCAAAGAGTAAGATGATGAGGTCTTGTGTGGTGTCCTCTCTCTTTGTGGACATAATTTGTGCAAAACTAGAGCTGAAGCCAGTTGCGATTATACACAAGTTCAAAAATTATTATGGTATAGACATTTCATAGTACCATGCATGGTTTGGCAAAGAGTTGGTTCTCTGTGCGAGCTTGAATGTGAAGCTGGAATTAATCGCTTTAGATGGTTTTTTGTGTTGTTTGGAAGTTCCATTGCTGGATTTCAATATTGCATCCCCTTGTTGTTCATTGTTGCTACATTTTTGAAGAGCAAGTACAAGGGGCAACTTCTTTGTGCTCCCAGAAAGAATGGGAATCAAGGTATGGTTACAGTATTGTATTGGATTTTTGTGTAATTTGCATTACTATTTTTTGTAATATTTATGGTATTTTGTGTACTCTGCATTGTAGTTTATGTTTACTGTTTTGTGTAATATTGTTTGTATGTTGTCAATTGTTCTTTGAGCATTCAGAAACTACACTGCAAATTCCATTTGTTGCAGTTTTTTAGCAGAAACTGCAGTGCACTTTCTTGTTTCATAATTCAATTTCTTAATAATTTTTCAAGTCTATGGGAATGTTGCAACTGCTCATGAACTTAAATGTGTTTTGAACTTAGTTTTAGTACTTTGATCATGGCTTTTCCTTTAGTTTCTTTTCACACTTGAGCAAATTTGTTTTCATAAACTGCACTGCAGTTTTCGTTTGTAGCAGTTTTTGACCAAAAATTGCAGTGCAATTTCTTGTTTCATAATTCAATTTCAAAATAATATTTGCAAGTGTATGGGAATGTTACACCCGCTCATAGATTTGCCATTTGGTTCCCTTAGTTTTAGCACTTATATGTGTTTTGAACTTAGTTTTAGCACTTTGATCATGGATTTGCCTTTTGGTTCCCTTTCAAATTAGAGCAGATTTGTTTTCATAAACCACGTATTATATTTTGGATTTTGTCTTAATTCTAATTAGCTAAAATTGAATTCCTATTTGCCTAAATACTAAACTATATTGTGTGTGAAAACCAAGGTCTAAAATATCGGTGATATCGGAAATATCGGTAGGCCAAAAACACGGAAATTTCGATGGAAATATTGGAATATTATCGATATCGATAAAAATTGAATAAAAACCACGGAAATTGTAAGAAAAACTTGGAAAATTTTATTGAAACTTTGTAGGATGTTTATTTAGTCAATTATCTATTAGTTTATCATAAAAAATTGGAAGGAAATGCATTGCA